CTGTAGCGACGCTGTCTTCGGTGGAAAATACCGCTGTAACTGTGAAACAGGAGAATGACACGCAGCTTAGGATCTTGAGGTCAGCACAATTCATAGATGAGTGCGAAGCAGATGATTTCGTCGATATTTACGCAGCCGTTGCTGCGCTGAACTTCAGGATGAAAACCTTGCAGCGCTTGGCTGAACTGGATGCCGCATTGAACAGAGATATTCTAGATATGCAGAAGATGTGGATGAAGGGGAGGCTTCAGCTCGACCGGATACCGCTCGAGGTGGACGCGAATTTGGTTCAGGAACTTAATGTACTATTCTCGAAGAGCCGTCAAGCACCTCCGGGTCAGGCAGCTTCTGGAATAACAGACGCAGATATGGAAATCATCAGGGGTATGTTTATTCGGCAGTATGAGGATGTACAGGCTATGGAAAAGGCAACAAGCTTCGACACTGTTGCCGCTATGTATGAACGCGCGAAGATGTTCAACGGAAAGCTCGAAGGCATATTGGATGCGCAGAAGAACAAGTTGCGTGCAGCTCTGGAGCGCCAGCCGCTCACCAAGGAAGAGGCCACCGTTGCGGCTGAGGCGATGGCGAAAATTGCTGACACTGCCGTCGACGAAGGCGAAGAATGCTGGCGTCACTTGCAGATTGTGAATTCAGAGGTTAGCGGAAAATATGAAGAGGGACCCGGAGGATTTGGCGGCAAGGCGTTGTTGCAAAAGCTGACAACTAAGAAAAAAGCCGGTACTGCTGAGCAAGCAGAGAGTGTGTTTTGCCCTGACAGCGCGATTGCAAGTGATGTGAAGAAGCATTTTACCGAGCAGTGGCGCGACCTCGAAGCCTTTGCGAAGGAGCAGTGGATGAAGGTGCAAGATATGCTCGAGAAGGCGAAGAAGGGGGCAAAGTACAAACTCGATAAAGAGGGATTTGGATCCACTGCACTGGATAAGAAAACGAGCCTGAGGGTGGAGACGGCGAGGAAGAAAGCAGAGGCAGGGATCCCCTCAATGCTAATGCGATATTATAACAGATTAGTGAAGGAATTTGAGGCGTATGAGCATGTGGTGAACGCTGCATTGATTTATCCATTCCGGCGCGGATCACAGGAGTGGAGTGCATTAGGGGAACTGAAATCGCGATTCGACTCTGAAAAGGCACTGGCCAAGGGAAGCCGAGATTTTGAGCCGATACCTGAATATGCAGCTACAATGCTGCAGACATACTTGAAAATCTGGAGTCTGGTTGAATCAGAAAGAGTACTGCAACTTAAAGAGGCAATGGAAACGGCGCGCGTTGATCTTCATGATGCAGCGCAGGGTTAGAACAGACTTCTGAAAACTCGAGCGGCTCCAACGCACAGCTGTTCTCATTACTGATATGCCCTTCCTACTTAATGAAGTAGTGTCGATATTGCGACAGGCCTGTATTAAGTATTGGCTTTGATTGCAGAATTCTACGTAAGCTTCAATAATGCGTCTTAACCCGCTGTGTACTGGCGAATTTCTCTCTCCCCTTGACATTTCTTAGTAAGCATTTCTGGCAAGAGGAAACGCTTATATTCCGAGACAGTTTGCGCTGACGCTGACGTGGATTTGACCAGAGCAGGACTATCCGGTAGCGCAAACAATGCGCAATGTTTGTTCTGTAGAGTTCGCGGTGCGTATTCTTTACGCTGTGC